AAAAAAATGGCCAAAATCAGTGGTGATAACCCAGTGAAATATTTGATAAATTGCAGAAAAAAACAACAACTGTTCTCAATATGGCGGCCTCCGACTAGTGGACGTTTCCATGAACATTCGACAATAAACAACAGCTGCGGCCAATAAGTGCTACTATGGACCATCGAGTACCTTCAAATCCAAATAAGAATCACTTAAATGAAAAACTACATTATATTATAAGGTAGTAATTAAATCAGTAATACGGAATTTTGACAGTCATGTGTACAAGGAATATGGAAACCGAATGGTACTGAGACAACTAGGCAGACCAAAAACAAAGGACAGAGTCAAGTAGATCTAGCAGAAATTGGAATTCAAGACGGAAAAACAATAGCTCGGGATAGGGGGGATAGACGAATGTGGATATGTGTAGCCTTCAAGACCGGACAAGAATAAGAAGTACCTGTACCTATAGGACGTACGGATTTCAAACGGTACGATCAGAGAAATACTCGAGCGAAATTGGCGCCAAACGATGGACCGCGCCGGTGGTTCTTTTGGCGGCATTTTCAAGACTCCGGGTAGTGGCACGGGGTGGATGACACGTTGCCGCCGTCGGTTGTATACGGTTTGGGGTGTGTGTGTGTGTGACGTCATGCGGCGGTCGTAAACAAACACAACCACGGATAACGTGCACCACGTCAAACGTAGATTTATGAATGGGCCGATAACGCGGGTAGCCAAGGGCAACCAAAGGGGCGACCGAGTTGGCCGGCACGAGTATGCGACCGCCATCTACCGGCTTAGGCCGGAAGTCGAAGCCGGACGGCGATAAAATTCGAACACACACACAAATGGAACTAAAACTACTACTGTTTAAAAACAAGAATAAGTCTTCGAAAAAAATTTGACATGTTGTTTTAACGTACTGGCCAGTCAGTGGTCACCTTTGGGCTTATCTTTAATCTATATAAATCTATTTGATCTATATATTACAAAATAAATCTATAGGTGTTACCTACAGCTACTCTGTCAGTACATTTTTTAGTACAGTGTAAATATTAAAGATGGTTTTTTTTTTATTTGGAATGCTTAATAAATGTTGAATAATAAACGATAATGCACTACTTTTTAAAAGGAATTTTCCAAACACTGTCTAAATTCATCATCCGGTAGGCTACACGCCGTTGGTTGTGATTTTAAAATTTAAAAAGTCGATGGCATTTTTTTTTATTCGTTTTTACTAGTGCTGATGCCATCACCGGTCAAGTATTGCGGTAATCGTCGTCGTGCAGGGGAAGTACAAAAAGCCAAGACATTGCCTTTGAGGAAAGGTCGTAAACAGGCAGTGTTATCGCGGCGAGGGAGGACAGACAAGAGTAGTCGATGGCGGAGGTAATTTCACGAGATAGTCGTTGCAAGCTGTACACATACATGTATAGGTGTACATATTACACGGGAAACGGCGACAGTATAGTGGTATATTTACGAGCACATTAGGTAGGCAGTCATAACGGTTATAGGATACGAGGGGAGGGCAAGAAGGGATGGGGGTGCAATGTATCTGGACTGCGTCAACAGTTTAAACCGAGTTTCATACACACACACACACATCAGGCGTTCACGACGACGTTAAAGTTAATGAGAAGTGTAGTTTAACACGACCGTGAAGGGCCTGAGGGGTTTGTTTGTGCCGCGGTGTATACACAAAATATACGGTGTACACAATCCTACTTGTGTGCGGCAGTGTGTACCTACTGTGCATGTGCGTGGGTCGGGTTAATGTGTTTCGATAGCAGCTAAGAGGTCCGTCATAATCGTAATTCACTCACTCGGTGTTCTGTGTAGATCTTAGCCCGGTACAGTCGGCTCACCACCCTGTCAGCTAACGACCGCACGTGGCAAAACAATAAAATAAATTATCATTATTTCGTTGCCTTGGATCTTCAGCGCAAAAGGGTGTATCCCCGCAACCATACTACATAGGTGCGATGCATTGAACTCAATATACGGATGCGGCATATTGAACCGTGTCATTTTGTGTTCCAATTTCATGGAAAATAAAAATGCCAAGATACATATTAAAAATGTTAGGTTAGGTGATAATAACACCGTCACATCACAGACAGTTTCCATCTAGTCTGTGACAAAACAATAACAGCTGTTCACAGTAATTTCAGGCCACTTCAGGCAATACGCGTTCCGTGTATTGAGTTCAGTGGTGCGATGCCAATTGGGGAAAAACGGTAAAGCTACTTCCCAAAAACTTTGTACTGTTGGACAATGCGAGATTCACAGATAAAGTTTTCCGTTGTTTTTTCCATCAAAGACATACGTTATGTCTCCCATCACAATATGGTCGGAATTGTTGTCGGTGCATCCATCAGCAGCGGTTTTTGCTTGTATTATACCGTCGTGTCGTGTTAGACAATTTGGTTGAAACCCGCGGGGGTGTATTTAAATTACCCCGCTGACAATGCACGTCCATCCCCCGTGTACATCACAAAAGATCCCATTGAAAAGTTCACCACAATCGTCGAAACCCATTAATTGCAGACGTTATGTTCACGCGACCGAGTCAATCCACAAAAGAAATTGGAGCGAATAAATTTAAGTATAATAAATAAAATCCAAAAGTTATTGAAAAGCTTTGGAAACGCCGTCGTCGCCAAACGCCTTTTTTTTTTTTTTTGCTTCAATACATCACACGCCTTCTCTCCGGTAAAATAATAATGCGAACAATCGCGAAGACAAAAAAGAGAGATACGACACCATAAAAACCGTGTCTTAATAATATTATGCTGGAATGCAATGCGTTCGAAGCTTTATCGACTTAGATATATTGCATTACATATATTTTTTAAAAAAACAACAACTTATATGATTTAATTAATATCGTTATGGATAGTAGTTCTGTTTTGTGTTACTTCAGGACAATTGAACTTCACTAAATAATAAAACACTTGCAACCATTTCCATGTGAACCTTAGATCGTTTTTGTATGCTCTAAGTAGTAAGATGTAAGCAATGTGTTACATGAAAAACAAAATCCAATATTTTTGTTTAAACATGTTCCCTTTGAAATCGAGTTCTCTATATTTTTTATTAAGGACGATTTACCTCTAAAGTTACTTTTGAAAGGCTTTTTTATCGGTTTTGTGTAAACATGCTTTTACCATTGAAAATCATCGACAAGACACAACCTCTTGAGAATGCTTTGTAAGGAAATTTTGTTCAAAATTATACAAACCCTGTTTGTAACTAAGTAACTAACTGTTTGTGCTAAAAGTTAAAATGAATTGTACAATTTATACAATTTTTTTTTTAGTTCTGGGTGGTCTTAAAGAGTATAATTGATTAAAACGAGGCAGTTGAAATATCAAATTAGGCATTATTTATAAGCTGATTTTTTATATTTTTCTTTTACATTTTAAATTTGCCTCATGTATATTTAGTGTTAGTTATACATTATTATTAGTAGTATTTTTTAATCTTACTTTGTTTTATATTTTATTCCAAATGTGTGTGTGTGTGAACGTTTGTCGCCTTGCCATTCTTCTGTCGTTTCCAGTGCGGCTGCGCTTGCAACTCTCCGGCAAACCGAGACGACAATTTACAGCCAACACTAAAGTCATTTAGAAGAAAATAATATTATAATCGAAACGCTTCTTGTTGTTTGTTTGTTTTATTTATTTCTCGTTTGCCGTATACGCGCAAAATTCGTTCCCGGACTTCTCCCCCAGCTTTGCCCGGCTAAACTCCCTCGTCACCCGTTACTCGACCGGCGGATGTCTTCCGAAACGCATAAACGTAAATTAACAATGTAAAAACACACCGTAATATTATAAATAAAAGTGATCGTTTAATAAATTCCATTTCCCCCCTTTTTGTTTTCCCCGAGTGTGGGTTATTTGCGATTTGAAACGACGACATTCGGCACGACCGTCATTATCATCCCCGGACTCGCTATATTGCCGCCGCCAAACATTTTGCATCAGTGTTTCAAGATAAAAACAGAAATTAACGACCAAAATATTATAATTTATTCATCAAAATATCGAATGCATTAAACAAACGTTTTAATAGGATTGCGTGCCGTCTGTTTTAAGGAGTTTTGTATAGGCAATATTTTAGAAAAACTGTGGTTTATTAAACTTTGACCGTGTTAATTCATTTTCTATATTAAAACTCAATTTTTTTTTACTTGAAAAAAATAAAAAAATCTGTTTCCTCTATAACCTAGTAAAGTTGCCAAAGAATTAGTGTATCTTTACAGAATTGAAATCGGATTATTCTTAGTAGTCGAAATTTTGTCTGGTTTTTTGGACTAAAACGTAAAAAAAACACCGCGTGCAATCGCCTTAAGTTGAAAAATAAGTAAATTTGTTGGGTGTTTTACTCGATTTCCAAGGGGAAGGGGTGACTTTCTTAAATGTTTGTTCTAATAAAATACTAGAGTTGCTAGAACAAGAAACACGGTTCAGCGGTTCAAAAGATATCGTGGGTCCAAACTGCAGACACAAAACTAAAATTAAAAAAAAACACATCAATGTAAATACAATATTTTCTCAGGGAAAATATTTTTAAAATTATCTAACTTTTGCGCATCAGTCTTCAGCCGGAGACGAAAGCAAAAGGGTCACTTTCAATGTTGACAAAAAAGTGACGGTCATTTTGTGACTGACTAATTTAGCATTGTATGTTATAATATCTTTACACAACAAATAATATAAATGTATAGATATCGCATTATAGTGGGCGTATAGTGGCCTTAAGAAGATGACCGCCGCGTTTTTGTGTGGTAAGTATCTTGCCCGGGCCTGATGTAGCCTGATCAGCTGATTGGTTAGGTAAAAAGGACATTCGTGCAGCTATACATGTAGCCCACGAAAGAACGGTACCGCGTCTTGACAAAACCGGTCCGTCTCGCGCATCCCCACGCCGCACTCCGCCTAGGTCTCCTCCCAAGGCGGGCGGCCGTCGGCGCGAAGGTAGCTACTAGCTGTGCGCACATGTCTCATGTCTGTTTGTAAGTGTAGCGTGCCATGTGAGACACTGCCCGTACTTACTGCGTCACCTATGCACGGTGTAATATTGAATTTAAAATTGTTGGTAAACGATTTTGTTTTTACTATTAAGTAACCGTTATGAATGATGATCAGCCTTCTTGTTCCGGGACCGATGTTGTCTGTGTGTTAGGCGCTTCGCCAGTAAGGAAAAACGCAAAAGGAAAGGTAAGACATATTGTGTATTTACTAACAATAGGTTTATATTTCGCTCCGACCGTTTTTTTACTGACAGTATAGATAAATAAGTAATATTGTTACCCGACTGTTGCCGAAGAAGGAGGGTAGTTGTCGTTTTTCGCTTAAACGACTAAACTGATTTTGATGTGAAATAAAATACCAAAACAATCTGTCAATATTCTTAGCTAAGCTTAATTATCGTGGGATTAAGTCGTATAATCCCTCAAATGCAAAAAAATAACAGATCACTAGATACAGAGTTACTTAATAAGACTGGAATTCTTACTTGCTCGCAATGGTGACGTTTGGCGTGATCGCCATAAACGTTGTTTTTGGCGCGAAAGGTCACAGTTCGAATCCCAGCAGCGCCATTTTAACTTTTTGCACTTTTTTCGACCGGGTTTTTTCAAATTTGATCTAGACCATTCAATCAATGTTCAAATAAAAACTAAAATAATCCCTAAAATCGTATGAATATGTTTGTTATTATTTTACCCAACTTAGTTTCTTATAAGAGTATAGGGCTGCGGAAATCACTCATAATCAAACTAGGGTTAATACCTCTACTGTTTTGGGTTGTATTTTTACTTTATTTACAAGTAAAGTGTAAAGTAAAAATTTTAATTTTAATTCAACTAACTCCTCCCCCCCAACCCCTACTGTTAAAAATACTGTAAAAATTAAATAGTCGGTTAAATGTCTAAAAAGAACAAGGAATAATCAAGGCATCCGACGACTGTAATAGTACTTTAAACAGTAATAGTTTACACAACAGACGACTATAATTTAGTTTATTTAAAATTAACAGCATAAATTAATATGTTAATTTGTTTTTTTAATTGTTTTTAGCTTGTTTGCTCGCGACAAAAAGAATTGGTAATAAATATTTATAAGTCGCAACTGTTGGAACACCCTGACATTAAATATAAGGAATTAGTACTAAAAGTGAGCAAATTAACTGGAGTGGGCCGGACTACAATTGTCAAGACGATTTCTGAATATAAAAAAAACGGTGTATTAAGATCTCCAAATAAAACTAGAAACCGAGATAAAGTATCCGATAAAGTCGACAAGTATGATAAATATGCAGTGCGCCGAAAAATTCACAATATTTGGTTTAAACGTCAAATACCGACGCTCAACAAAATTCTGGCTTCCGTTAACAAAGACCCTAAACTACCAAACTTTTCTCGGTCAACATTGCACCGTCTGTTGAACGATTTAAATTTTGTACACAGCAAAAGAGGTCGAAACAGCGGATTGATCGAGAAGGACGAAATCGTTATTGGGAGGAATACATATTTAGAGCAAATAAGGAAATATCGCGCAGACGGACGGGCCGTTTACTTCCTGGACGAGACATGGGTAAACGCGTGGGACGGCCCTGACAAGACAACGCAGTCTAGCAGAGACTCGTCGCAGAAAAAAAGTGCTGCCAAACCGAGTGGCAAGTGCAAGAAACGTTTAATTAGCCTCGACATCGGTTCGGAAGACGGGTTCGTCCCCGGCGGGCTATTGGCTTATGAGTCCGACGATGAAATGAACGAGCGTACCTTTTTCGATTGGATCAAAGGAGTGTTGCCACTGTTAAAAGACAATTGCGTCATAGTCATGGACAACGCGCCCCATCACAACGCAAAGGCCACGGCGGGTCCAACGCTAAACTGGAACAAAGCCGACATCGAGAAGTGGTTGGAGAAAAGAGGCGAAGTTTTCGAAAAGCCCACCATCAAGGTACGGCTAATGGAAATGGTGAAACGCATTAAACCGACATACGACAAGTACGTTGTTGACGAATACGTCAAAGAGCACAACAGGGTGATATTGCGGTTACCGCCCGACCATAGCGAGCTAAACCCTATGGAGTCTGCTTGGTCGGTGGTTAAGGACCACGTGAAAATGAAAAACACCACATTTGAATTGCAAGACGTGCATAGACTTGTCCGCGATGGAATCGGCCGCTGCACTCCAGAAATGTGGAAAAAATTTAGTCGACAAACGATAAAAGAAGAAAACAGACTTTGGGAGATAGACTTTGTCGTAGATGAAGTGATGGAAAACGTGTGTCCGACTAAAACGACCAATTTAGGAGAAGCCTCGTGGGATACCGATACCGATTACGATTCCTAATAATTACTTAAAAAATTATTATATCATTATTTAGACTATAAGTGTTTTTTAATGTTTGTTTAAGTATGTGTATGTAGATATTTTTTTCGTTAATTTTTTGAAATGAAAATTCAAAAGTCCTACATTTGTTTAATGTTTTTTAGTTACATAATATACAATAATATTGTTGATTTAAAGTATGATTTGTTATTTAAGGATGTTCAGAGTTTCACGATGCGAATTTTTTATGAATAGAATAATTATATTGAAAAGTTTCAATATAATAAATAGTTAAAATAGTAACCTTCTTATACATTTCACTTATTTAACAATAATATAATAATGAAAATGATTCCTAGTCGATATATGAATTATTTTACTTTAAGGTATTAAAAGATTCAGCCTATAGGCGAGAAGACAACTGCGGTTTAGTTTAAATTTCCCCACCCATAATATTTTAAGTACCATTGACCTAGGTGGGTGCAAGGCGTATTCTCAAAAATTGTTTGAAAAACTTCCAACCCCACATTCACGTGCCGGAAAAAGCTGTCGTGTCTTCAAACACAAAAAAACATATCTTGTCAATTCCAATACCTTTTCGCTATCGCATTCAAGCTAAAATATAAATACGCTCACCGAAAAATAAATAGAGTTTGCCATTTAAAAATCTAGTTCACATGGTTTACACACATAGGAGATGGGGGTATATGTGTTAGAAAATATATTAAACTTGGCCAAACTAATAATTATAAAAGTGTGAAATTGTTTTTTTAAAACGTATAGTATCTTTGGTTTTTATAAAAGAAAATTATGCTACCTACAATAAAATTATTTATTGTGTCTATACAAAAATGCATATCCATAATAGTTAACTGAACAACCTTTATTTTTTTTTTGTCTTCATAGTTTTTGATATAATTCTCAGTGTGATTGACGTATTAATAACTTCTACGGTGAACATTTATTAAACTCTAAATCCACTATAATGGTAAATTACAATTATACTACATTATAATATAAGTATTGGATTTGTTATTCTAATGTTTTTTGAATCACAGGCGTCAAAAAAATCATTTCGCTTTTCACCGACGTATTGATTAAAAAACTCTTCAAGTCCCAACAGACAAATAGCGGTTTATTATGTGGTACTGAAGACCCAAAACCAACTTCTATCGGTGTAGTGCACGCCATCGATAAAAATTGCAAACAGGTAATATATCATTGTGTCCTTAACTAGTTAAGGTTATTATTGTACGGTAATAACAGCTATATAAACGTTTAGAATAATCATATGACTTTAATTCGATCAACCGTCGAATAGTTCTTCTTGGAACATTTTATCTCTTTAAACGTTTGAACATTTTTTCATTATTTAAATCGTACCTTTCGATATTTATTTAAGTACAACTTTTTTGTTTTTTAAAGTTTTTTTCGTGTTAATGGAAATTTTTTTTGTTTTAGGAGTCAGACAATAATTTTAAGGTCGTTGACAAGGTAGACTTGACAGACCTGTTCAACGGGAAAAAAGTAAACGTGGAAGATGTGGAACATGCACTCTTTATGCACAGGGCCGTCGAATATCGCAGTGTGATTAAAACAAAGAATTTCCAGCGAGAAGTCAAGGTCTCAAAAAATAAAACAACGATAGTAACAAAGACATTGAACCGTTAAAAACGGTGAACTAGTACTGTTATTCCTAAGCTAATTTTGTTCTAAAAAAACAAAAAAATATTTAACTTAGTAAAATAAAATGTACACAAAGATTCAAAAATAATATTCGTATCGTTACACAATCCTAAGGGGTCTGTTAAGTTTACCCTCAGAAACATCGGAACAGCGTTGGCAGTAGGGGCAATAAACCCAAAACCTATGTCCCCACGGTTCGACAGCGAAAAAAAAGTGTATGGGCTCATAATAAAAAAATCATTCAGTTTTAAAACAAATATTACTCACCGAGTTCTTCATGGATCGTCAGTGAGTTAAAATACAGAAAGGATGGTGATAGGATATGTACAAGGTGTTCAAACGAACTCTTGAACTTAAAAATTGGAGGATAGCGACAACCGAATACTCTTGACTGATGACAAGTACCTACTGAAGTCGACTGACAAAAAGCAATGAAATTTTTTATTTTATTCTCTGACTGTTTTTTCCTCTTAGCAGATCTTCATTGTTTGCTCTTGAGTCCATTGGCCTTTCTTTAAAACCAAATAGTGCTCCTTAATGCCTAAGGGCTTCTTTCATTTTTTCGTATTCTACCCATGGTGTACTCCTAAAGTCTGCTGGTGAATTTACCGGTGATATGGGTTTTACCCTAACCAATACCTTGTTGGGTGGATGACCGTGTGATTTCACTTGAAATATCATATCCGTTTAATGTAAGACACTCATTTTCTCAAAGTAATAGCAGTTATGTAGTTTTAATCACCCCGGAAAGACCAATATTATACATACAATATTAACCGTCTTGATAATAATTTTAAGTTTAATCTCCAATAAAAACCTAACAGTGAAAAATGGCCAAGTTTCAGCCCCCCTCCCAAAAAAATCAGCCTATCAATGTAGTGATATCTACATTGTGGCCAAGTCTGTTATTTCTTTAGTTCATAACTTCACTTCACTCTTGCTTTCGAGAGCAACCCTTCTCTTTTAGTTGTATTGCTTAACACTTGTCCAGTTTCTGAATGAAACATGACCTTTCTGAATGAAGCATAAAACAGGCTTGTTCGCAATGTACCACTACTTTAATTGGTTGACTTTTTTGGGAGAGGACCTGAACCTTTTTCTTTTTGTCTGAGTTCTCTTTTTCCCATCACCGACATAACTCTTGAGTGAGTACATTGGAAAATGATGTTTGATGCTTCATGAAAGTAGGAGTGAAGTGAGGTTATGAACTAAAGAAATAGCTTATTCTATGTTTCAAATTTCTAAAGCTCATCTTAAGAGGAAACAGAGCTACTTGCATTGCTGGAACTTGGCTTAGCGCTCTGCCGTGCGCACAGACAGTCTAATAATATTTTTTAAGCCGCAGCACCTTATAATGTCTTATTACTTTCATTGATGTATTAAAAAAGCCGCGAGGCAATTATCAGGTATAATAAATAAGAAATCAAATTGTATTCATAGAAAAATGATTTTAATTATCACACAATATCAATTAAATACAATACCATATGGTTCGTATAAAATGTCCATGTGATAACTCTTTGATGTTGCTTGGCCAACGTATTGTGTTTATTTTATATACAGTCGTTGAACGATAAGGTTATTCTTGTATCAAGCTATCTTCAAAATGGCAATTACTGAATTTTTGTGTCTTCTAACGTCCTTCCTGGCGCTTTGCGAATGTGGAACTTACATTTTGCCGTACGACAAAACGCTTGCGGTTAAAGGTAATATGTACCTAAAGTATATGACTTAATAGATAATAACTTATGACTGTACCTCTGTGATCGTGTAGGTGTTATGAAGCCCCAGGACACGATGGCCGACACTGTGTTGGACTTGGACGAACCGAAGAGGGGCCAAATAGGGGACTTGCAGCTCGATTCAAGAACCCAGGACGCTGCCTGGAGAATAAAAACAATTACAACGACCGTGCCTACCATGTTGGTATTCGAAAAAGGTATGATGCGCCCGTGTAGAGTAAGTGACATAAAGGAGAAGTTGAAACAGAAGAAAGCAAAGTCACATGCAATCAAACCACTGTTGGATTAGGTGAAATGTTGATATTTTGTATAAAAAAAAAAACGCGTGGAGAATAGAACATTTTTGTAAACTTTTTCTTTGCTTACAAAAAAAAAACCTCTAATGATTATTATATATAATCGCTGTTTGAACATCCTATTTATTGTGTACCTTTTTGTCTAACTTTATTACCAACCAAGTTTTAGGATGATGGTGTACATTCTTAAAACTTGCGATTTACTAAATCCATTGTCAGCCATTTGGTCTGTTGTTAATAAAATATAAATATGTTCCAGAATTCCATTTTTGTACAAATGCTCATCAAAGTAAAATCTGAGTATTTGACATCAATACGCTTTATACTTCCAGTTTTACACATTTCTTGTACATTTATACAGCCTTGGTTCTAAACTTTTTTCCACGCGTTTTATTTGTTATCGACATTACTAATAAAAACCTCAAAGCACTTTGTATGAATAATATTTTCAAATAAATTGTAATATATTATGTTGGTTTCTTCCATTATTTTTTGCGTACTAAGTTGTTACGTAAGTCGTTACTAAGTAATTTTCTGTTGAAGAGGCCAAAAATAGCACGTTTGTAAAAACGCATAGTATTATATATAGTTAAAAAATTCAATAGTAATATATGGGTTTGAAAAAATGCACAGAGTGCATTTAATAATCAACATAATGAACAAGTACATTGAGTTTTCAAGTACAAGATCTCTTCGTAAGAACAATTAACAAAATACTAATTATAATACGTTTTAAGCTAAGAAAATAATAATAATAACGTTTTATTTACCACAAGAGTTGTAAGGACAATTGGGATTATGGCTTTCCTTCACCTACACTATAAACAAATACAATGTTGTGAGTGATTCAATAATTATTGTGATACATCAATATTCATTCTTTATTTTATTAAGAATTATTTCCATAGACACGTTTTATGATTATAATATTGTATTAAACATGTGATGATAATATCAATATCTAATTTCTAATTGTCTAATTTCGTTTAAGCTGCATCGACGGCAGATCGAACAAAAAAATATAAAATAAATAACATTTCAATAGAAAAAATGCTATACATCTTATTATTCGAATTCATTTTTATTTTGTTAATTTGATAATAATAATAGTGATTGAACTTTATTAATTAATTATTAAAAAAAAAAAAAATTATATTAGTAATTATTATAGTTATTAAAATTAGGGGTAGGAATCTAATCAAAATATATCACACAATACATAAAGTAAAATAATAAGTTCAACTGTTCCTAAAAAAAAAAAAAAAATTTTTGAGTAACTCAACACTAGAAAGTATAAAATATACGATTACATAATGATCGAAGGACAATTTTACCGTTCGATTCCGAAACGGTGTAATTTATTATCCAATAAACATTACTATACTTGACTAATTTTCCCCCGTAGACAATAAAGAAACCGTACAGCCAGTAAACCCTACCAAAAAGGACCTGGGCCTTAAAACATAGGAGTAG